AACTTTGTTAAATAAATATTTAATTTGGAGCAAAATATTTTTTTCAACTATATATTAAAAATGGAGCTAAATATTTATTAAAAAAAACTAAATAGTTAATTTGCAGACTAAATATTTAGTTTGGAGCTAAATATTTAACAGACTAAATATTTTATTTGCAAACTAAATATTTATTTAACAAAGTTATTTCTATAAATGAATGAATGGCATAGTGAAAAAATCACTTGGAAAAAAATAAACTCCTTATTTTTCTCTTAAAACACAGTAAATAACCATAAATATTGCTTATGATCCACTTACTTTTATTTTGCACTTTCTTAAACCAAAGAACTGAATTACGGGAGGCTGAATATGTTGCGTTATAATCGATTCAATCAACAAAGAGCAGGATTATCCCCTCATACCTGAAAAGGATTAAACATTAAAGTATAGTTTGAGGAACTGCTAAATTGATACATCGTAAACTAGGATAGGAATTAAAATCAAATAAATATCTTAAATGCATGTATAGTCCTTGGTTTATTTGGTGGAATAAATTTTTGTTGCTGCACATCTAGATCAAACATTTTTGACCATCTTCTGAAACATGGTTCCGCAGTCAGAGCGGATGGAGAGCTTTCATGCAGGATGCCTGGTGTTTCTTTGTTTTTCTGGACGGGCTGGCTGTTTGCCTCACCCTGCTCTACTCCACAATGTGATTCAGAATAAGCGGGCACATCAGCCACTCTTACTCTATTTCTACCTGACTCTCTGTTATTCCCCACCAGACTGTCTCCTCCTTGCCCGACGGGAATCACTCTAGTGTCAGAGTGCATTGCCAACCCTTCTTTTTTCCTGTGCTTGGTCAATTTTTATCAGCCTCTGACTCTGGTCAGCTTTTAGACCGTTTCTGACTTTCATCAGTTTGTTCTACCTGCATACACTCGACCTAAAACCTGCTCCCAGCCTGTTCGGTCATTGTCTCAGACATTGTCTCGTTACAGAACAGTATTTTAATGTATTGCTACCAGATGTGGGTAAGTCAGGTTCAGAAAGTAAAACCCTGCCCAGTTTTTTCTTTATCCTGTTCACATAACCAGGTGATAACAGTAGCTCCCTGTCTGTGTTGTAGAAGTAGATATGGTACAAATAGTTGGAACTAATCTATGTACAGGGGTTTATACTCTGGACTTGGATTATCCACCTCTGCCTGCCACAAATGAACTATAATGACTTTGACAGGAACAGTAATATAATAAATTTCACTCCATATTTTAGTACTTTATTTGGCTTTTACCCAGTTTATAAAGCTGATGAACTTTCATGACCTGTATTTAACACCAACACTATGAAAAACGGACTTATCCATTCATATGGATGGAGTATGCGAAACACCTCATCAAGAGGATAAAAGCCTCCATCTTTGAGGAGGAGAGAATAAAACAGGTAAATAAACCTGTAAAAAAGTTGGGAAAAGATTGATAGTTCATAACAGCTGCCGTTGTTACTCTTAAAGAAAATAAAAGCACAAACAAAAGACTTTACAAGGCTCCAAGTTAGTAAGTAAGGTTTAGATGCGTTGGATTTAAAGAAGAAGGATCAAAATAAAACTTGACCAACAAATAAAATACTTCTGGTTTAAAGTCAGATTATTGGTTTTATCCTGATAAAGCAGGGAGCAAACCTCTTTAACACAGTTTTGGCTTCACAGCTTCCGTCTGGCAGTTTGTACCACAGCTCCAACAAGTTTCACTACATAAATGTTGATTTTTGAAAACAAATGTATCTTTAAAATGTGTCTTAATGTCTCTTTAGTGTCTTGAAAAGCCAAAAGCTTGATCCTTTGTGAATGGAAAGGCAAAGAGGCCCAGTACGGCGAGTCAGGGTTACTGGTCGGCCCCGGCTGCCCTCTTGGTTCGTTTCCGTGGAGATGTTTTTGGCGAAGGTTCTAGAAAATCAGAGGTAAATTAAAAAATTACATGAATAATGTGATTCTTTTTGTTTTTCCTCCATAAAAACAAATACAGGAAAATACAGATGTCATACTCATGGCATTAAGAGTCTCCTGGGGAATCCAGCTGATGTCTACGTCGTTTACTCCAGTGGTACCCTTCTCTATTTTCACAGGAAGCCTTTTCCTCTGCAGAAAACAAAGTGAACGATTTAAAGAGGCCCAGCTAAAGCAAAAACATTCATAAAC